CTTACCACACCGCAGACCCGAGCGCCATTCTGGGATCTGTATCTCCAAGATGGCACAAGCTGTCTCATAGGCCTCAACAGCTGAACATAACATGCCATTTGCACGTGTGTACAGACACAGATCATACACACAAGAATAGTAGTAAGGTGCAGGGTCAACATGAAGATGGCAGTTCTGGAAGGGGCCAGTGATGTTGGTGATAATACTACAGAGAGCAGAGTACCTCTGCCTGGATGGACACTCATCAGCATTACCTGTCTGGTCTCTGGCACCACAACTGAAGTACATGAATATATGAAAAAATGAAGGTCAGTTAAATGCCTGTACTGTTTCATCACTTGGACACAGAAAGAGTTTACAGTTGAACAACTAACATGATTTGCTATTCTTGCATATTTTATCCTTAAGACGTAAACCTTTGAACCTTTTTCCCTGTCCACTGCTCTATCAAAATAAACCTGAGAAACATTTTTTTTTAATCATATGACCCACCAGGTAAAAACAACTGTCCTAAAGTCTCATGGTTCTTACCCTAGAATGCTGGTGTCTGATTGCCAGCTATGGCCAAAGGAATCATCATCAGGAGCGGGGTCTCCACTGGGCAGCACTTTGTCATCTGCAGGATTACCACTGAAATTTCCACACATTCCACATAGAGATCCATAGAATCTTTCACTCACTCTGACTAGAAGGCTGCTATGTCCATCAAAATGGACAATGAATTCATTGAAAGCATTTAGAATTACGAATCCATGCTCCTCATGTATCTCTACAAGATCATTGATTTGATATGCTAGTGTGTCAATGGCATTCCCATCAACCTGGAGGGAAATCAGAAAATTCCAACTTAGAAAAGAAAGAAAGTGAAAGAAATTACATTTATATTGACACTATTTGAAGTCCAACTTACTTTAACTCTCATGTTTTGGCCAATTGTGATGTGCGTCTGTTGTCCACGCTGAGACAACCAAACATCCACTGCAGACACAAATTATACCACCATGTTCCCACGGTGCCTGTTGGTGGCCACCACACGGAACTCCAGATCACTGTCTGTAACATTACGGCAGGTCTGGGCAATCTCATATGAACAAGTTCCCTGGTAGGATTAATACAATACACATAGTGTCCATTACACCTTTCTACCTCAAAGATGCAACTTCAAATCCAGAAATGTCATGCAAGACATTGCAGACATTCATAAATTGAAGAATCTTCAGTGCTATGAAATATATTTTATTAAATACATTGTCACATCAATAACCCTCCTAAACCTCCTTTGAATAAACCTGACTATTAAGTTAGTTGTCTCCTACTATTGGGACTCAAAACAACAGTTAATTAAAAAAAAAAAAAAAAATGTCCATTTCTGACTGCACACTCCAAGGCTGGTGGGCAGACAGATGCAGAGCAGCGTAAATCATTCGGAGCAAAACACTGACAGCGTTGGGAACATGTTGAATCCCAGAACTGTTCACCAATCTATAAAACCATAATGATAATAATGAATGTTATATTTTCAGAACATAGTGTCAGTAAGTATATTCACCTACAAAAAAAGCATCAAGGTAAAAACATGATGCTTAATCCTTACATTATAGTAGAATCCATCATACAAGCAGCCACATTGCTCCACTGGTACACAGAGTCCTCCACTTCTCACATATCCCTCATCACAGAAACAACCTTCTGAGCATGTTTGTTCACAACTAGCATCAATGCTGCTGGCGCACGTATGGCCACAGTCTGTGCCACACACCTCATAATGGCTATTTGGGATGTTCGCTGAGCAGTCCATGACTGGAAATGCAACAACAAAATGTATTTGTACAATGTATCTAATAGTATGTAAAATATAATTTTTTTAAGGTGCCCCTATTATGCCATTTCCATTATTGCCTTTCATTCAGTGTGTAATGTAGCTGTATGTGAATGAAAACGATCTGCAAAGTTGTAAAGCTGAAAGTGCACGATAAATAAAGCTTTTGTCTCCCAAACTAAAGAATCGACTCTGTACAGCTGAAACGAGTCGTTAGTAATTTGAATCCCACTTCACACATTTGCACACATTGGGGTAACACGTTTGCATAATGCGCGCCTATGTTCTACGTTGGCCGGCCGCAAACAACTTGACCCCACCCACAAACACGTCATTCTACTGACGACTGCTTCTCTAATATCGGGGAGTTCAACGCGGGATTCACAAAACGCTTGCTGTTGAAAGATGGATCAGTATCCTGTTTATTTAGACCAGCTGCTCCACTGAATCACAATAAAGGAGGGGTTTAGAGAGACTGAATCTTAGAACGGCTTCGAACTAATCGTTTGAGAATCGCTGGAAAATGAGGTGATATTAAATGCATATTTTGAGAAAACGAAAACGTTTTTTGACCTTGCATGCATGTAATCCTATTGTAGGAGACTCCCAAAGCAATATTAGGAACCGTAAAAATTGCATTATAGGGGCACTTTAAATAAACGGGGAAAACACCTTGAAAGAAGAAAACAAATTAATCTGTAGTCTGTCTTTTTACATTTCATGTACACTCCAGCTACTTACCATAGGATGCATTTTCTCTCCAGGGATAGACAATGGCATTAGCAGATTGACAAGCACTCGCATAGGCTTGAACAGAGTGACACAAAACATCATTATTGTTCTCAGAAATGCACACATCAAACACGCAGCTATCAAAGTAGGCTTGTGGATCTACAGAACCATGGCAGAAGCTAAAGGGACCCTGGCTGTCCGTGATGATTCCACACAAGGCTTGTGAGATAAGAGTTGTGCTCTCATCTCTACAACAGTCAGGACAACTGTTTCCAGAGTCATCATCACATGGCATTTCATCCTCAACCATCCATTCTGCCCCAAACTGGTCTACTGAAGGTGCCGGAACACCTGAAGGAGTTAGGAAGTCATCCCAGGGATTGCCATTAAAGTTGCCACAGATGCCACACACAACTCCACTGTAGTCTGCTGGCACAACAATGTTTACCGCCCAGAAACCATAACTGACACTGAAACCAAAGTCAGTTGAGACATATGTAAACTGTCCTGTGGAATAGACAGATACTCGACCAGAGTCAAGGTAGATGGGAAGGTTTCTGATCTCTTCATCAACCTGATTGAAGAAACAGAAAATCTTGTTTATACAAACATTCTTATCAATAATTACAACTGTAAAATCAGAAATATGCCATGCCAAATTAAAGCTTGTGGGACTTGTTTACCTTAACAGCAGATACTTTGGCCAGCACATATCGGCACGGGCCTTGAAAGTCAAAATAGGTTCCATCAAAAGAGATATAATGGGGGTCTCCAGAAGCATAACAGCTACCATGTGGACGAGGATGGCAGCCATACTCTCCTTCCACCACACGGCAGATCTCCTGTTCACTGCAAGATGATGGTGTGCAACGGACATTTCCAGTTATTCCATCACAGACACACAGGAACTGGCATTCTTCACCATGCCAGAACTGCTCTCCAGGCTGCCGATAGCGCCCATCATAGCGGCAGCCACAACCAGTTGGGGGAACACAGCGGTCTCCATCCAGCACCAGTCCATCATTGCACTGGCACCCCCCCTGGCATGGCTGCGTGCACTGGAAGGGAAATGAGAGACTAGGGCAGGATGCAGGACAGGATGTGCCACACATTTCGTAATGGGTATTAGCTGGACAGTTGGGATCTGGGAAGACAAAACATGGAAAAGACAATTAATGATCAGCACTTTGAATGACATATATATTTTTAATTCTGACAATCTTGTCACATTTGTAAAATACTAACCACAGTGGGTGATACTCCTCCACTCTCCAACTGTGATGCCATTCTGTTGGCAGTACAGTGTGTAACCTCGTAGGGCCTCACATAGAGCCTCCCTGGCACCGTCTGTCTGCTCCAGCATCTGAATACAATCTTCAATCCGTTTCCAAGGGTCTAGTGTTCTGCTGCACTCAGCAAATGGTCCATCATTCATGGCCATGATGCTGCAGTGCTCACTGAACTCACTCCTGTTCTGATAAAGACCTGGTTCCCACATGTCTGTTGGATCCACACAGTGGGCTGACAGGGATCCATCACGCCAGCTGTCTGCAAAAAGCTGGGAGTCATCCAGCAGGATACCATCTGGGCTGTAGAATTCATCATCAATATTTCCATTCAAGTTTCCACACAGACCTCCAAGTGTACCATTGTAAGTGGTTGGAGCTGTGATTCGGACAATGTGCGGCCAGTCAGCTCTAATGGTCACTCCAAAGTTTGTTTCCAAAACAAAACCTCTTGCGCTGCTGTGATAGATATGGATCTGACTGGAGCCAACACTGATGGGTAGACCAACCATCTGTCCATCCACCTAAGGAGAAAAAAATCTGACTTTGATCTAGCATTTGAGTTTGAGATAATGGTTAAACTGTACTTAATACAAGGCTGAGGGGGGGAAAAAAACATTTTGGCTAACCTGCACATTGCTACCTTCTCCCAATTCAATGGAAACATGAGTTCCTCCTGCCTCAAACCTCAGGAACCTGGAAAACTCTTGAAGGCCTCCGGGTACTTTCTCCACTGTCAATACAAAGTATGGCAGTTGGGATGGCCCCATCACTCTTGCAAGGGTCAGTCCACAAGCTCCTGGGTATCTGAAAGTTTGTCCATCAAAGGTGTGGTATGAACCCAGGCTTTCAACTGAACAGGTAGCATAACTGATGGGTCTACAACCCCTTACACCATTATGGAGTCCACACACTTCCGCTGGACCACACTGGTGCTGATTGCACACCATTGACCTGCTACTGCAAACACATTGCCTCCCACAGTCCTCGCCCAACACTACAGACTGTCCCTCAGAGTAATAGAAGCCCTCAAAGACACAGCCACAGTTTTCTTCAGGCACACATTGCCCAGCGCTAAGGATGTACCCATCATCACAAACACAGCTCTCCTGATTGGGCAAGGGACAGTTATTTGGGGCGGAGGGGTTGCTGCAAGTTGCAGGGCAGCCTGTTCCATGGTACTCGAAATGACTGTGCTCAGGACATTGAATCTCTGGAAATGCAGAGCAGATGTAAGTACATGCCTCAAACTCTGTAATATTTCACCTTGTACAAATATTTCAGTTACATTAAGTTAAATGCTTAATTTACTTCTAATGAAGACACAACAAGGCACTTACCACAAAAGCCTGGTTGTCTCCAGTGCCCTAGTTGTACACCCTGCTGTTGGCATTGAGCAGAATACACATTAAGAGCCTGGCGCAGAATGGGCTGGTACCCTCCTCCTAAGCAAAGATCATAGACGCAGTTCTCTATGTAGGTCTGGGGTGAAAACACAGAGTGGCAAGATGCAAAAGGCCCTGAAACATCTCCTAGTATCCCACAGTGGTTTGTGTCACTGTAAAGGCTCATTTCATTGGCAGTACAAACTGCACAACCTAGACCTGTGCACCTGACATCATGGCATTCGGGATCTGTGTCTCCCTCTACCTTCCAAGAGTTGGCAAATTCAACATCTGAGCTCAAGATCTCCCCAGAGATTGAACGGAAGTCATCTTCAGGATGTAGGTTATAGTTCCCACACAGACCACATGTGGCATTCTGGTAGTCATAAGGTACAGAGATGGTGACGTAGCTATATGCATCATATGTAACTAGGAGACCAAAATCTGTGGTGATGGCCAAGGAAAAACCTGACTGATAGACTTGGATGGAGCCATTGTGGAGGGTGAATGGTGTGGCTATAAAGGTCCCATTAACCTTGACAATGTTGACAAAAGGAAATTAGGAAAATGGAAGGATGCCTGAACTCAATATTACAGCAATACAGTGATACTTACCTTTGCCTCATAATAGTGATCTTTAACCAGTTCAATTTCTTCATTATAGACAAATACTCTGACCATTTGAGTCCATGACACATGTGTGCTACCCCGATGCTCATTTTTTCCCTCAGTGCGATAGTACGGCAAACCATTTCCACAAGCCTATACAATGACAAAAATTCAGTATCAATAAAGGATTCCCGATCTTATCAAATCTGTTGATAAGCTACATTACTAACCTCAGAGAGAACATATGTGCAGGTTCCTTGAAAGTGAAAAATCTGATTGTCAAAAGTGTAGTAGTGAGGATCACCAGAGATAGTGCATGTCTGTCGCTGAATGTTCTGACAAGAGTATTGGAAAGCAGCAGGACGACAAGCTTGGGAATAAGTACAGGGCTCAAAGCTGCACTGGATGCCTCTTGTGGTACAGGTACATCTTTCCTGGCAGGCAGCATCACTCCAGAAATAGTCACCTAGCTGCACTGGCAAACCTATGAGAAATACTTAGGTTTATGTATATAAACACCAAAAATCATTTGTGTAATTACTGCAAGGCTTTACCTATGGTTTACTAGCATGGTAAAATCAAATCAATTTGAATAGGTCATTCATAGTCTGGCTGCAAATAGCAAATATGGCATGCAGTTAGGGAAGCAACATTACCATTAAATTGACAACCCTGTGTTCCATGATCTGTTCTAAAGACCCATCTGCCTGGCACATTGACATTGCTGCTATGTGGTAGGCTTGTGATGTCATTCTGGAGTGATCCAGTAATTGAGAAATGGTGACTTGAATCGATAGTGTCATAACCAGCCTAATGATAAGGAAGACATCCATATGTCTGCTTAGACAGTTATTCACAGAAAATGCAATACCTATTATATCAATGTCATCTTGTGCATACCTGTACATATCGTTGTGTTGGAGCGATTGCACCATAGTTCATTACAACAAATGAGAGATGGCCATTTGAAATCAAAACCACTTGGAAAGATGTTTCCTTAAAAGGACAGAAAAGTCCGTTTTAAAAAAATAAATAAATAAAGAAGAAATTATGTGATATACTATTTATTTATTTAAGATTTTCATGGTACAAAACTGAGCTACTTACTGTTCCTGAATTGTAGTAATATGCAACTCTATCCCATGTTGCAACAAAGACCCATGAAGCAGAGAAACTCAAGTCAGGGAAGTACTGGTTTATGTCTTGAGTTGCCTGTGTAAGGACACTGCCAGAGGTGTACTGTTGATATGAGATGACACCATTCCAACGATTGTCAATGTCTGTCCAGAATGGAGCAATGAGGTCTTTCCCTCCATAGGCTGGGAACTGGTATGGAGTGTAGCTGTACCATTCCCCATCAAAAGTCAAGTGTCCATTGCTGTTAACCTGAAATAGAAGAGGACTGATTATTGCCTGCAGGATTCTTATAAAATATGCAAAATAGTGTGTAACAGAAATTTAAACTGCAGTGAAATGTCATGTACCCCATTTACTGTTTACAGTCTGCAGTTATTGACACTCAGAATCTAAATTTCACACATTCCAAAATGACTCACATAAATTTGGTTGTATGTTTGCCCAAAAAATATGAATGTCTGCTGAAGGTATATAACTGATGAACTCCCGTCATCAATGAGTCCATTCACTGTGTCTCCAGTTCCAAATGAATAAAATGGCCCTGTAATAATGATGCCATTGTCTGAGGGAGAAAGAAAATAAAAACAATATTGAACATTAATTAGTAACAATATAAATATCAGTTTCTGATACCTGTCATTTACATTTTCAATCATCTTGCTGTAACATTTGTATTCTTTGCCTAATGAAACCAATATGATACAGCAATATGACTGTATATCAGCATGGCTTTGAACTGTGGCATTTTGCCTACTTTAATATAGCTGATAATGTATTAGCATACATAACTTTATAAATTATTTTAAATTATTTACATGCATCACAAACACATAACAGGGATCTGATTTGCTCATGCAAAACAATAATCCTCCACATTGTAACACACTACAATATATTACCAATTGTAATGTCCATAGTTGTAGGTTCTGTGGTTGTGGTTGTAGTTTCAGCTGTGGTTGTCTCTGGCGTGATAGTAGTAGAGGTAGTGTTTATGTTGCTTGCATCTGAAAGAAATCATAAACATAAAAAAAATCTGAATTATCTCTTACATAAACAAAGGGCACGTGTAAATAAATATATTTACCTGCACAGTATGCCAAATGGCAGGTTGTTGGACTCACAAACTCATAGACATAATAATCTCCTGGACAGGCTTTGACTTTAATGGGATTGGATTGGAAATGGCAGCAGTTATTGTCCCAGTGACCACAGACATCTCGAGTGGCCACTCCATCCTCAACTGTTGGATGTCCTCCGTTCAGCCAGAGTGGAGCATTAGTGCCACAGCTATACTCCTCAACACACGTGTCTGGCATCTGAACGCTCTGACCCTGAATGAAGAGACGGTACCAGCCGTTCCAGCTGACCCAAGTGTCACACATTATTTGAGAGGAATGTTGATTGTTGGTGGCTCTCCATGGATCGTCCAGGACATTGTAGTTGTAGCAGGGGTCAACAGGGGGAGCTGTTGATATGGATACATTAAAACATAAATGCTCTTGACTGAATGAATGTTAGCTGGTATGAAATCTCCAGAACACTCTTTACCTAAGTTCCCTGATAAACTTGTGTTTCAATTCATTTAAAGCAGATACAATTTTGTCCTAAGTTTGAACATCTTTTATTTAGCTGTGAGAAAAGGATTTAAAATGTCAATGACTACGTTTACATGGACATCAGTAAACTAATTATTTACCTTATTCTAAATAAGCCAATATTATGATTATGGTGTTTACATGAGTTGCTTTTAGAATATTCCTTTCATGTTCCCGTTTTACATGTGGTAATATTGTGATTAAGGTGTTTACATGTCTATACTGCACTTCAGTAATACGACTAAAATAGGAATACTCCACATGTCTTAATTTGATTTCTGTTCACTTCGAATATGACTTTAGCCGGATTAAGGTAATCAAAAATCTCTGTTTACATGGTAGATTCTTAATCAGAGTATTGTCTTAATCATATTAAAATCGGAGTATTGTTGTCCATGTAAACATACTGATTGTTATGATCCTGCCTGTTTCACTGTGAACTCTTATTTTGAAGTGTTTTTCCAGCTGCTATTATGTCTGTGTTCCCTGTGTTTGCCCTGACTCCCAAGCTTGCTTGTTTGTTCCCATAGTTACCCTAGTGTATTCCCATGACATTTGACCACGCCCCCTTGTTATCTTGTTTAGATTGTCTGTCTGTGTGTATATACTGTATACTGCTTAGTTTTCACCAGAGGTGGGCAAAGTAAACAATTCCATTACTTGAGTGAAAGTACAGATACTGCTGGTCAAATATTTCTCCATTACAAGTAGAAGTTTACCATTATTTAAGTAAAAGTACAGAAGTACTTGCTTTGAAAAGTACTTAAGTACCAAAAGTAAATTTATTTTGTTATGTCAATGCACTGTTTTATTATTTTTATGTAATACTTGCAATACCTTAGGCCTCTGAAGCAACTTACAATATATTACGCCTACTATTATTAAATTGTTGTAAATAAATATTACATTTGCAACTGGTCAGTTGTCAGTCAAAAAAAAAAAAAAAAATGCTGGAAATCACTTCACATAGCCCTAAAAATCTCTCTAAAAATCATGTTTTAGAGAAGAAAAAAATCTATTGTGAAAAGTGAAAAGTACGATATTTGACTTTCAAATGTAGTGAAGTTAAAGTAATACGTTTCCAGAAAAAAAATAATACTCAAGTGAAGTACAGATACACAAAAAGTGTATTTCAGTACAATACTCAAATAAATGTACTTTGTTACTTGTGTTTGCTGGTCATTGTTTGAATGGATTCCTGTATTGTTTCCTGTTCCTTGTTTAGCATGTGTGGACTATCTGAGTTTGGCCTTTTCTTAATTGTGCGTGCATGTGGATGCTCTCTCTGCCTCATCTCTCCATTACAGTCAACCATGAGCCCTTTTGCAACTGAGCAATATGACTTTGAGAAGAATGCTTTGAAAACACACGTTGTGTATTATTTGCAACAAAAACAAGACAATACTTTACCAGCGGTTGTAAATGGTGGAGTAATGGATTCTACGGATGGGATTGTCTCTGATGTTGTAGACACTGATGGGATGGACTGACTTGAGGCTTCTGGTATTAAGAACAGTTTTATATCAATAAATAATTTTTAAATAAAACCCATAAAGTAAATTAATATATTACATATGAGTAAATGCTCACCTACACAGTAGGCTCCGCAAAACATTGGCTTGACAAACTCATAAACGTAGTAATTTCCAGGACAGGCTTTGACTCGTATAGGGTGGGATTTGTAATCACAGTAGGCACTCCATGAGATAAAGACCTGACGGGTGACCACTCCATCTTCCAGCTGTGGATGAGGGCCGTTGAGCCACAGTGGGGAAGAAGTGCCACACAGGCCTTGATTTACAAATGATTCTGGCATCTGGCCATTTTCACCATTGTAGAACAGCCTGTACCAGCCATTCCACTCCACATTATAATCACACATGCCATAATAGTAATAGTTATTATAGTTGTCTGTGGATCTCCAAGGCTCATCCAGACTGGTGTAGGTGTAGCAGGGATCGACACTTGGGGTGGAGGAAGGAACTATTATGAAAAAGTAGAAAGAGAGCATTACTGTACATACTGAAGATTAAATCTATTCAAGACAATAATATGAAAACCAACAGTAGAAGTGATGATAAGCATGTCAGATATAATGATGAATGAAAGTACACAATACCTGCACAATATACAGGTAATGGGATTGAAAGACTTGGCCTGATAAATTTGTAGACATAATAATTTCCAGGACAAGCTTTCACTTGGATTGGTTCAGATCTGTAGCGACTGCACTGATAATCACGAGAACCAAAAACTTCACGGGTAACAACTCTATCTTCTAGCAGAGGATGAGAGGCACCAAGCCACAGAGAACTAAAACTTCCACATGACATATAATAAAAACACGACTCAGGCATCTGAGCACTCGACTCATTAACAAAGAGTCGATACCAGCCATCCCATTCTACACGAGTGTCATCATGATCAGAGATGTATCCATACATAGACCAGTAATTGAGTGTGCTTCTCCAGTGGTTGTTGATTACATTGTAGTTTTCACACGGTCATAATCTGTGTTATTAAGATATCAAAACAAACAAGTTAAATTTTAATGAGGAGCTTCACAAGTGCAAATCTCAACCAGTAAAACACAGTAACAATCATTCACAACATGACTGTGAAGTAGTGAAGCTAAAAGTATAAAAGGTGACATTTTCATTGCAAAATAAGATTTAGATTAGGGAACACATTCAGGATTAGTATTAAGAGATTTCCCTCAGTAAACTTTCTGCTCACAGATAGTAAATAAGTTAGTTATTGTAGTAGTTATGTTTAGGTGTGTTAAGGGGTCTAGAATATGGTCATGCTAGTAATTTGCATTCTAATAAGCAACTACTTAACAGAGAGTAGTGTTCCCTAATCTCAAGTGTTACCATAAATACTTTTAAAAATTAAAACATATGACTTACTCAAGGTGATGCTGGATCCAGTGATTATATCTGGACTTACAGTGGGAGCCACCTGTGAAATGGTGCTGACATCTACAAAGAAGGACATTCAAGACAAGACTGAGATCATTTTAAAAGTTAGGAAAGACTTTTTAAGTAATAAATAAATAAAATGCATGGTACCTGTGCAGTATCCTGTACACCAGAACTGTGGTTTCACAAGTTCATAGACATAGTAATTGCCTGGACACGCTTTCACTCTGATGGGGTTTGATTTGTAAAAACAGCAGCCATTCCAATAAGACCCTGCACAAACCTCTCTAGTCACCACTCCATCCTCTATCTGAGGGTGAGGACCATTGAGCCACAGATTATAGTATGTGTTACAGCTGTATGAACTAACACAGGTCTCTGACATCTGGATGTTCATTCCATAGTAGAAAAGCCGATACCAGCCATTCCAGGAGAAAGATTCATCACAAATCCAGTCTCCACTTTCATTGGTGGCTCTCCAGGGACGATCCAGAGACTCATAGTTGTAGCAGGGATCACTGCTGATGCTTTGGAAGGCAACTGTCAAAGAGTTTGAAAAAGTACTGTTAAAATACTGTTTTTACTGTACACTGGAGGCAATTTAGAATATTACCGGTACATTGTAAAACACAATGGTTGTTCATTTTATGATTTTCAGCCAACCACTTAAAGCAATTCTAACTAGTGAAGTGCAGCCTGCAGAACGGCACAGAACAACACCATAACTACTGTATGTACCAGCACTGCATTCATGATAATATACTGTATAATATTACATAATATATAATAGTGTTGATATGATTATTGTTTATATATTTAAACTGCAAAAGCAGTGCAATTTCACAAAGCCCACAAATTTATTTTAGCAAAAATAAGCTAATATTTAGACTAACACGTAAATATCCTAATATTACAACAAGAAATGTACAGGTTCCTTTTTAGCTGGAGGACAGGTAAATTATGAACAGATATTCATCATAAATTAAGTAATTGATTGATTCTGTATTATCATTTTAATATTAATAATATGGCAAGACAGTTTAAATTTAAGTCAAATTTAGACTAATTTAGTAGAAATTAAATTTGTTTAGTTTAGTGCAATTTTTGGTTTGTCTAAAGTTGTGAGATTTGAGGAACTGTGTTACAACTGATATGAGAGATACAGTAGGGAAGAGCTATGGGGGAGGGGGGTATGGTAAGGGTGTGAGACTTACATAGTTGCTATCATGGTTGGCCTTGCGTTTTGTTGGTGTTCATGTCTTTTACACTTTCACACTCTTAAGCCCTATTCGCACGGGATTAGTATTATCTGGGGACCTTGTGTGATTTTGAAATTACCCCCCCACATCTGAATTTCGTGTGGTGCATTTGCACGGGATAAGCGAAGCCTGTGATTTTACTGACTTGTCTCCCGGATACTGAGATGCATCTGCGCTGCGCAGACCGATCGGCATATGACATCAAAGTACCATGAGAACGACTTGAAAGCATAAAGAGTCGTCTACTGTCCAATCGCTGTCACTATACTTTGATGTCATACACTGATCGGTCTGCGCAACGCAGCTTTAAGTCAAACACACTTTTTGCGTCATGTTGTGATTGGTTGTTTTGTTCTGTTCTCTCATTGGTTCATTGTCTTTATTGTTCACAGGTGTCTTTAGTTAGTGATTAGTGTATTTGTATATATAGCCCTCATTTGCCACTATCTCTTGTTTATCTTTTTTCATTGAAACCTTGCTGTTGGTGAGTCCCATGTTTTCTAGTCAAGTCTGGTCATGTCAAGATCTAGTTTAGTTCATGTTTGTTTTTCTGTTTTGTATCACATTTTGGTTTGTTCTGTTTATGTTTATTAATAAACTGCACTTGGGTTCAGTTCAACTCGCCTAAGTAGACCTATGTAACAGAAGCCTACAGAATGGTTAATGGACTGCGCTAATTCTAACTGGTCAAACCATGTTTAACTTCATTAAATAATAAATTTAAATGCATGACTATTTACTCTTGACACTGACATTGAAAAAAGCAAAAAAAAAAAACAAATAAAAAAAGAATGTCACAATAATTTGGAGAGAAAAAGAGAGAAAACTTTACCTGCACAGTATGTAGGCCTGGGGACTGATATGTTGGGTTTGACAAGTTCATAGACATAATAATCTCCTGGACAGGCTTTGACTTGGACAGACGTGGATGTGTAGGTTTCACACTGATTTGAAAATCCCCACCACCACCACCATGAAGTAGTTCCCACAACGTCACGGGTCACCACTCCATCCTCAACTCTTGGATGAGAACCGTTGAGATACAGTCCAGATTCACCACCACATCCCATATAACTCACACACCACTCAGACATCTGGGCACTTTCTCCATTCAAATACAGCCGATACCAGCCACTCCATTCAACAAGGGTGTCATCATAGCCATAGTAGTGATATTGTATTTCTCTCCAATAGTCATCAAGAATGTCATAATTATAGCATGGATCAGAGCTGGAAGTTGTAGGATCTGAGAGAATAATGACACAGAAAAGGACAATCCAGTGATGATACACATACTCACCTTTTATGTGGCAAACAGTTGTGTCTTTATGACAAGATATCGGGATAGCACACTAAGGAGGGATTATGTAAATTGATTTCACCTACAACAAGTGTATCTGCGGTTTAAACCATTTGCTCACTAATTTAAAAAGATTTACTACATAGATCTCAGTTCATTAATCGGAGCTATATTCGCTTACATCAGCTTGACATGTGGCTCTTAAAAAATAGTACAGTTGTTTTTGTGTGCTCAAAATATATATATCTATTTTGAACAGGTTGTAACCTATATCTGTATTAGGCTCATCTGTATTAGGCTTATAGTACCGCTTGTTTGTATTTGTACAGGAAACATTTCTTTTCAAACAGTACTGAAGCACTGAGGTGTTGAATAAAAGTTGAAAATGTAAATGTTTATTGACACCATAAAATTAAAATAACGAATAGGGTTAGGGTGAACACTTGCTCCTGTATGTAATTAAAGGAGTATGTATGTAACAATGTACAATTTCATCAAAAATGTGATAATAGTTGTCATGTCTACAATCATCTCTCTCTCTCTCTCTCTCTCATTGGTTTTCAGGTTCTGCAGTTCCTGCTCTGTCCAGCAGGTGAAGTCTGGTGTTACTGTTCTGCTTCCCTTTGCAAAAAACTTTTTTCAGTAGTATGAAATACATTTGAATGGAAGACCATTCCATTTCTAAATTGTAACACACGCACACACACAAATATATATATGTATACTGTATAAATGATCAGTTACACAGAATCTCACATTTGTGAGAGGGTTGATAGTTGGAATTATGAGAAATAAGGACACAATTGTAAGATATAAAGTTGCCCAATGAGCCTATAAACCTGACTTTTAAAAGTGAAGATCTTTTTTCTGTTGTCTAAGACATTATCTAGTTTCTTAAAATATAGCCTATTTTGTCCCAAAAAGCCTGACAATGTGGATGTGTATATGTAAATATATTAATATTATAATTATGACAGCTGTTAATCATTGATAACCTGCTGAATATACATGCATCATAAAATGGACTGAACACAGAATTAGCAAGTTTGGAATGCATGTCATAATTGTCAAAGTTTCCAAACCATTTGTTTTTGGTCTGTTTTTTTAACACAAAATTATGAAAGTAATGATAGTTTTTCTAAGTGAAAAGAAAAACAAAAGCAAATTTCTTTAGGAGCCTGATATAAATAACAACAGAAATGCTACAGTATGAGATTTCACATCAATAGGTAATCTGGTTCGCTTAATAATTCCTTTTCTTTCATTTTTACATTTGTGAAGGAAAGCAAAAGATGGAAGAAGTGAGTATGTAATTAAGTTTACCTGAAGTTTGTCCATTGATTATTTCACCTGTTGAATACACAATATAAACATAATGAATCACGGAAAAATTCAGTCAGTTCACCTAGCATCATTCTAATACACGTCAGATGATAAATCACTCACCATTAATCAGCAGCAGTAGTGACACACACAGTGAGATCAGAAACCTCATCGTGATAAACGGCAACTCCTGCACCTGCACACACATACACAACAATTATACATGAAATGTTTCTTATATTAATTATTTAGTATAAGAATATTATATTAATTATTTTTCATTTAATTTAAAACAAAGGGATTTTTAAATTAAAAATAAATAACTATTATAACTAAATAAACATACATTTACAAAGTAATTCCTTAATCATTTGAGCCCAATGTGATGAAATGAAGAGAAATAACTTTACCTGAGGTCAAATGCTGCTGCAGAGCAAACTCAGGGAGATTCTCTCTTCAGCAGCTGAATACAGTGATGATGAACTGCAGCTCTCACACTAATCAGTGCCTTTATTAATACATGTGGGTGGATCATTACTGAAACCAGAAGTAATTTCTCAACAATGTCTTGAACCAGTTTTTTATGTGACATATTTGTTATTTGAACGGATTATTTCCTTGTGCGACTACATTCTGTGCAACACATTATTTTACTCTGTGCTTGAATAGATGTGAATGTAGATGGGATGACAAGCGAGTCAGTTTGATTTGCTATGGGGTTTTTTTGTACTTTTTCAAAGCAGCTTTGCAAAAATAATATTATAAAATGCCCAATGAGTGAACTAAAGGGTTCAGAAAAGATCATAAATAATGTTTAACCATGTTAATGGTGTTTAATATTGTTTACATTTAATTACTTAAAAACCACTGGAGGGATGCAGGCAGTGGACAAGTAAGATGGAGATTTTTAGACATTTACATTTACATTTAAACATTTAGCAGACGCTTTTATCCAAAGTGACTTACAAATGAGGAGAACAATAGAAGCAATCAGACGAATGAGAGCGTACAGTATGCAAGTGCTGTGACAAGTCTCAGTTAGTCTAGCACAGTACACATATAGCTAGTGTTGTTGTTTTTTAATAGAACGGAATAGAATAGAATAGGTAAGTGCTAGTATTAGTTCGTCAGGTGCTGGTGAAAAAGATGTGTCTTTAGACTTTTTTGAAAATGGCAAAAGACTCAGCTTTTCGAACTGAGATAGGCAGGTCGTTCCACCAGCTGGGGACAGTCCAGGAAAAGGTCAGTGAGAGTGATTTTGTGCCTCTTTTGGACGGCACCACGAGGCATCGTTCACTTGCAGAACGCAAGCTTCTGGAGGGCGCGTAGGTCTGAACTAGCGAGTTTAGGTATATTGGTGCAGCGCCCGTTGTTGTCTTGTAGGCAAACATCAGTAACTTGAATTTGATGCAAGCAGCTATTGGTAGCCAGTGTAAACTGATGAAGAGAGGTGTAACATGAGCTTTTTTCGGCTCGTTAAAGACCACTCTCGCTGCTGCATTCTGGATCAGTTGCAGAGGCTTGATAGTACATGTAGGAAGGCCTGCCAAGAGATCATTACAATAGTCCAGTCTGGAGAGAACAAAAGCTTGGACAAGGAGTTGTGCAAACTAACAAAATTATAACACAAACAGAAATGCATACCTATTTCTAATGCAACTAACAACTCAAACCTAAATCCTAAAGTAACCTAATGTCTTTAAAAGCAGCTGCGGAACAACATGCTAGTTACAAAGCAGGTTAACATTAGGAAAATTAAAAGGTATTTAATATTTGGATAAAGAAAGAGAAAAACTAATAGATGAAGCAACAAATATGTATTGAAGCGGATTTATAAAGACAGCATAAAATAAACAGAAGGAGGTAGAACAGTTGGTACTTCCCTAAAGCGAGAATGTCACATTTACTGAAAAAAAAAAAAAAAAAAGTTCAGTCAATCATAATCAAAATAAAATCAAGTCTGAAGAATCAAGTCTGTTCTTGGACAGTTTAAGGAAGTGAACACTATAGTCACAGGTTAACCGGAGTTGCAGAATTACACTCTTTAGGAATGTCCTACATTCCTCTGCTGCACATTTTAGCTCATCCTTTAAAAACCCACGTCCAAAAAACCATGTGATGCACATTAATGTGTCCTGACGGTAATGTCTCCTCAGGAAATGTACAGACTAATACAAATATAGAGGATTTTTTAAAAATTAATTTAACATTGTGCCACTGTTTATTTAACGTTCTAATCTTACATGTTTTCAAAAGTGCATGCTTGTCAGGAGTTTTTGATAGCTGTAAGGTTCAATGTGTTTGTGATTTTGTAAGACATGGCCTAATGGTTAGAAAGTTGGACTTGTAACCCAAAGGTTGCAAGTTCGAGTCAGGGATTGTAGGTGGCGGGAGTGAATAACCAGCACTCTCTTCCACCTACAATACCACGACTGAGGTGAGACCCTTGAGCAAGGCACCGAACCCCAAACTTCTCCCCGGGCGCCGCAGAAGAAACAGCTGCCCACTGCTCCAGGTTTGTGTTCACGGTGTGTGTGTGTGTTCACTGCTGTGTGTGTGCACTTGGATGGGTGAAATGCAGAGTACAAATTCCGAGTACGGGACACCATATTTGACCACACGTCACTTTCCCTTTTTCACTTCACTTAAAATCAACAATACTTTTACAGCATTTATGAACATACTTTTACTGTTATTACTATTTTCTTCATACACTAATACACTTTAAATTAATTAATTTCTTATGAAGCAGCATAACAATACATATTTATTAAAAGCAATACAATTTATGTTCATTAGCTATTGCATTAGGTATCATGAATTACCATTATTAAATAAATGAAACAGGTGCAAGTGTGCAGTATTGAAAAAAATTACAGCTTGCACTAAATCTGCTGCAGCAACAAACTTGGAACCAATATAAAAAAAGACAAAAAGTTTCCCCATGTGTTTAGTCAAACTGGATAGTCAGGTTTATTGTCATTGTTATACATTGTAGGACTTTCAGAAAACCACCAGACGATGATGCTTGAAAGTCTCTTTATCAACTCACTAAACTGCAGCTGTCAATCACTGAAAGTGGATTTTTCCAGTTGCAACCAGTTGAACAAGATTCACCAAGAACTATATACAGTACAGTACAGTACATGACAGTCACCTTTGCATGAACAGTGCTTTTATTTTATTCTCCATTATCTTGATATGATCAATTCTGGTGATTGCAGTTTCTGCATATTATTACAAGTTGCCAAAATAATCCATGAGCCAAATAATCCAATAAAAACCATGAAAAAAAAATGCTGAACATTATTAGAAGCTGATCGTACCTATTGGCTCACACTGAAGCACAGAGATGCTACAGAGACATGCTGCAGAGGATGCATTTCCACTAAACAAATACTTTCTTACTAAACTGAAATGAAGACCGTTTTATCCAAATGTTCATTTTAAGTATGGTAATGGTAAATGAATGCAAAATGAAAGAATTTTAGCTAAAGTAAACCTGACACATTAATTGGTGAATCATATTACCTTGTCCTCCTTCAAATACCTACTGACTAAATATATCGTCTATACTACGCCTCACCTGGTCAAAAAATCTCTCGCATGACCAGCATGTCAATACTCAGAGACCAATAGTAACACAGTCACTACTTTCATGCGTTTAAACTACATACAACAGCAGCTATATTCTTTAGCTCATATATATATATTTGTGATGACAAGTTTGGCAGGAGCATATTTACAATTTAAGTCACACAACCTGGTCATTGACGGCTGGCACCACCGCTGGTTGCTTATGATCAAATTTAGCAATCTTATAAATATAGACTTGATTTGTAATTTTTTGTCGTCAATTCCAAATATTTATATTAAAAGATACACATCAGCATTAAGAAAAATGCTGTTAAAAATTTTACATTTCAATGTTACAGAAATGCAGTCAAAAATTCTGTCATTCACAGGAAATATTCCAAAGGAATTTTGCAACATTCTAATGAAACTATTAAGAAGGGATTTACAGAGGCTTCAGTAAAATGTAGGAAGATTCAAGAAGAGTATCAGAGGACTGTTCAGACATCAACTTATGCAAATGCACTCTGCCCTACAGACTCCTTAATTTCAGTTTCTCTTCACCTTCTTTAAAAACTACAATACATATTTGTGTTAATCTAACCAGTGACTGGCTAGGATAAGATTATCCTATGCCTGTTATTGTCAGGCGACATTCACCCTTGCCCAGGTCCTAATGGGGAAGTTTGTCCCAGTTTTAACAAAGGGCGAGCTCTGGAATCCGGATCGTACTTGGCTGAACGGAATTCCGCTGTTGTACAGGTATGAGTGTCATGCAGTGACAGGGCTACAAATATTAACAGCATGGCTAATAATATATCCCACCTTTTCATGGATAATGGTGTGGTCGTGATGGGCGATGAGGCGGCTGCGAGGTCTAGTTTGGAGAGGACAGTTTGCCGGGGAGGACGTGTCGTGGTCGTGGACCAGAAAGGCGCCGAGCAAGATGAGACCTTAGTTGATGAAGAGACTCTTCCAGTATCAAGAGGTTCTGCCGATTTGCTTGGGGACTATTTTAACACAAAAGGTTTACATTTTGTGCACTTAAATATAAGGAGTTTGTTACCTAAGATCGATGAAATAAGGTGCTTACTTAAGAATTGTAAAGTGGGTATTTTTTGCTTAACAGAAACATGGTTAGACTCATCTGTAACTAATAATGAAATAAAAGTAGATAATTATAATGTTATTAGGAAGGATCGCAATAGACAAGGAGGAGGTGTTTGTATTTTTATTAGATCGGATATTAATTTTAATGTGTTAGACATTAATGTTGAGAAAGAGTTATTGTTCTTGGATTTATTGTTGCCTGTGACTATACTGTTTGGAGTTTGTTATCGTCCACCCATTCAAAACTATTTTTATGAGGAACTGGAGTTTGTTTTGAACAACAATAATGACGATTTGGCAAAAGAATGTATTATTATGGGGGATTTTAATACAAATATAGCTAATAGAAAAGGGGATAATTTTAAAGCTTTACAGTCATTATGCCAATTATTCCATTTAACCCAAATAATAAACAAATCTACTAGAGTTTGGGAAGGTGGGGAAAGTACCATCGATCTTATTTTGGTATCTGATGAAAAATATATTTCC